TTAAAGTTGTATTATGTTTTATTTTTTGTTGAAAATTGATCATTTCCTCTTTTCAGAAATATGTTTTACTATACAGCATACATTATAAGGCCTGAAACCAGTTGGTTTGAGTTTTCAACAACTTAGGGAGTCTCAATTCAACATTGTAAATAAACTATTAAATTTTGTACTGCTGGCAGGTTCTACTGTTATCACAATACTTTTTCGCTAAGTTTCGCTTAGTTTACGCTTTTAATGTGCAGCCAGACTCAACAGGCCAATGTTGGTAAGTTACTCACTGTTGCATCATGGGATTTAAGTTGTTTTCCTAACTTAAATAACTTGGCCATTTTTCAGGCAAAACCCATAGATGTTGTCCTGGATTTTGTTTTTGGATTCAGTTAAGGGGTCAAATTAACCTATTTCAAGTTACAAAGGGCTTTCAACTAAATATAAAACATAATATATACAACTTTAAATTAATGTTTTTGTGACATTAAATCCAAAGCAGTAAACCTGTGTATTAAAGTTTTACCAATAGTCAATAGACCTTGCTTGCTTTTATGTATAAAGCAAATTGTGAGCAATAAAAAAATGTTATTATATAACACTACATGTATATATGCATTCTAGATGTATATTTTTGCATTTACACTGAGCGCCATATTGCTTCATACCACAGTCCCTCAACTTTGAGGGACTGTGTTCATACATATGATTTGTGAATCAGTCTGCAAATTACCTGACCATTCAGTGGAACGTACTTCTACATTGCAATCACAAAACTGGTTACGAACCAGTTGAGCAAGGCTAACCGAGTCGTGACCTCGATGTGGTTCGTAACCAGTCTTGGGATTGTTGTTGACAAATGCTGAACAGGCCACGCCTCCAACTGTGCCGTGCGTTCGGGCAAACCGTTAGGAATTTCTAAATGGAGTAAATTTGTGTAGTTTTCTTGATTTATTTTGCAGATATCGGTAAAATGTAGGTAGGGCTTTGGCGAAATTTGAAGAAGCAACTAATATTCTTCAACCTGGTATTTTTTTTAGATTTTATTTTTTATTG